TTAAATCCTGAACTTTTTGTTCCTATCTACAGCGTTTGGCAGATGGAATCTCGTTTACCGAAACCAAAAATAATGATAGAAGCGAGAAGTATAACGGATATAAGTGTTAAGAATAATAGTCATAAAGTAACAAAAAGTAATAATATATCAACTGCAACATCAATGGTAACGTCAACAATATCGTCGACGTTAACCTCAACATCAGTAGGTTCGGCTAGCATGAAATCTGTGACTGAAAACAAATTACCAGTTAAACAAGCCTTAGTTCGAGCAAAGACATTATCTACAATCACACGATCAGATAATGTGCAGAAAGCAGTAAAACGTACAGCTACTAATGTAGCGCATGGAGAAGCAAAGAAACCTTTTGTTAAACCTGTTACTAAAGCATTAATGAACAAGCCAATTAATAATGCGTTGATGACTAATAATACAGTGAAGAAGGTAAATAAAATTATTCAAAATGACAAGGATAATAAGGCAGGAAAATTAAACAGATGGGATATGCGAGGTCGTTTGGCACAGGCAAATGAAAAGTTATCAACTGTACAACAAAAAAATAAAGACACAGAGTCAAAATGCAATATGCTCCAAGAATTGGTAGATACTTTAAAAGCTAGTGAAACTGCCTGTAAAGCTAAAGCAGAAAATTTTCAAGTTTTAAATAACACTTTGACTAATGAACTTCAGACTCTAACAGTGGAAATGTTTACAATTAGAAAAAATGAAGAAGATTTAATCAAACAATTGAAAGAATCAAAAGAATTGTGCACAAATCTTTCTTGTACATTGAATGAATTTCAAGAAAAATGTAAGAGTCAAGAGGTACTGAACTTGGAACAAACTAAACAATTAACAGTTTTGAAATCAGATTTAGAGTTGCAGGAGAAGTTAATTAAAGATTTGAATATTGTCAAGGAAGAATTACAAGCATTAACTCATAAAATGGATAAAGAACGTAGAGTATTGCACAATACTATACAAGAATTAAAAGGCAATATTAGAGTGTTCTGTAGAGTTCGTCCAAGAACTCCTAAGGAAATTGAACAAACGAAAGTGTAAGATGTATTTTGTACTTTAGTAGCACAATTATTGGCTTAACACAAATATTCGCAATGTTTAAACCAATGTTTTGGCAATAAACTGCTACTAGAAATAATTATTAGGAAAAAAATTAAAGTGCTCTTAAGATACATGTATATAGAATCATTATGCTTTTTCAGTTGTATATACTTTACAATTTCTATAGAGCAAAAATCTGATTTTCATGTGTTTTGTGTTATAGCATAACATTACAGATTGTTTATTCTCTAGTCTATTTAGTTCTATATTTTTATCTTTTAAAATAATGTAATGATGGCAAAAATATAGTTCAAAGTTAATTTATATATATTTGTAATTTTTTTTTCTACTTATATTTTACAAATAACTATACAGAATAATTTATTGTAAATACAGTCGAAAAGTAATTTGTAAAAAATACATTAAAAATACGGAATAAAAATTGTTTTTGTATAAAATTTTGTTTTTTAACAAGATCGAATTAAAAAATAAGGAAATTAATGCGTTTTCTTTATTTTAAATATGTTTCTAATAATACTTTATTTTCACATTTTAATGAGTTTGTTTTAGGAATTGCTTTGAATAAAATTTAGTTTTATTCAAGGAATTAATGTGGAAGAAATAATTTTGACATTTTATTTGATTTGTATTTGAATAAAATTAATGTTTGTTACAGGCTGTGTAATATAAACTTTATAGACGATTGCACTATTGAAGTAGGCAAATCTGATGGATCAGATGCAATCAGCTGCAGTCGGAAGTTACGAGGAATAAAACAAGAATTTTCATTTGATAAAGTATTCACTCCCAATGCATCGCAGGCAGATGTATTTGAAGAGTTATCGCTTTTAGTACAATCAGCCCTGGAAGGATATAATGTTTGCGTGTTTGCTTATGGCCAGACTGGTTCTGGTAAAACATATACAATGGAAGGGGAATGTGGATTACAAACCGAAGGCATGATATCTAGAACAGTATGTTCTTATATATTTACAATATAATTATAAATATGAAATTGATAATTTCTAGTTTACATTAGGTTCGTACATTTTTGAGATTCAATAATTTCGTGTATTCGTAACATGACGATTTGCGTATACGTAAAGAAACTTGGTTTCGAAAGTTACGTAACACGCATTCAGTCACTCATATAAACGCACATTTGTATATACATTCACATACACGCGTACACGCGCGCGGTGAAATCGGCCCTTTATCTAGTACATTTTCACATGAAATGTAATATATCTCTTAAATTATTTATCTTTGGTAACTGTACTTTGACTTTTATGCACAGAATAATGAGACAACAATTATAAACAAAGATGTGCGAATCAAAATTTTTTTATTTCGAATCAAATTTTTTTTTTTAATACGAATGGAATTCGAATCTGAATCAAATCTGGGAATTGATTGCGTGTATTTTGAAATTACGCACGCATGCACACGCATGTATGCGCGCGCGCTTGTTAGTATGCTTCGTGCATGTGTAATTAAATTACACTTTTATATAAGTACAGCTAACTTAATGTTTTTAAAGAATTAAGTTTTTATTTTATTTTAGAATTATTTTTATGTAATTTTCCAGGTACGTCACATATTTAAAGAAATGAAACAGTTTGAACTTCTTGGTTGGGAGTATCAAATAGAAGCAAGTTTTCTGGAAATTTATAATGAACATATTGTTGATCTTCTTGATTCTGAATCAAAAATACATGAAATACGAATGGTTGACAATAAAAGTCAAGATTTATATGTTAGTAATCTTCGGGTAGAAGAAATACATAGTCCTGCAGAATTGCATGAATGTCTTCAAATTGCACAACGTAATCGAGCTGTTGCGGCTACTCAGTCAAATGAACGGTAAGTATATTTAGTTTAAATTGTAATAAAAAGTTGCAAGAAACAAAATTTTTTATCTCGTTTTAATCTATAATTAAATATATATATGATTTAACACAGAATTTATAATTTGGAATATATAATAATTTATATTCTCTCTAGTTGAGATTCAAATTGACAACAAATGGACTAACGAATCTCGTTGCATGTTGATAGTTAATTGTCTTTGTTTATTAATATTATAAATACAAAAAATATACGTAAATATTAATATGTATAGTAAATAGTTAATAATAATAATAATTAATATTATTATTATTATTATTTATACACATTGATATCTTCGTATACTTTTTGTATTTATAATATTAATAAACAATAGGCAATTAGTTATTTAGTTATTAACATCCAGCGAGGCTCGTTAGCTCATTTTTCATATGAATTGTTATTCATTAAAGCCTCTCAAATTATATATTAATTTTAAATTTTATATTCTAGATCATCTAGATCGCATTCCGTGACAAGAATACGATTAATTGGTACACATACCATAAAACAAGAGATATCGATAGGAAATCTGAATTTAGTCGATTTAGCTGGATCCGAACGTTTGAAGACTGAAGAAGCTGTTAGAACTACAGAAACAAAAAATATTAATAAATCTTTGGCAAATCTTGGTAATGTCATTTTAGCACTTTTAAAGAAACAGGAACATATTCCTTACAGAAATTCTAAATTGACTCATTTACTAATGCCTTCTTTGGGAGGCAATTCGAAAACTTTAATGTTACTAAATATATCTCCATTAGACGAATGTTATAACGAGACATTAAATTCGCTAAGATTTGCTAGTAATGTTAATAATTGTAAGACTGAAAAAGTTAAACGAAGCCGAATGATTTTATAAAATACGCTAACTAAATTTAGAGTGTGCCCGGTTAAAGAATAGTACACATTACCTACATATTTATATATATATATATACACATTTTTTATAACTACGAATATAATTTGAAATAACTTAAGGAAAACATTCTCCTGCGATTGGTGGCAAAATCATGATGAAAAGTCTGACATTAATAATATGATAATACAAGAATTGTTGGAAATACATTATTAAAATAAATAATACATATTATTGAAGAAAAAGTTTATGAGTGTTAAATATACAATCTAAGCATTTTACCAGTAGTACAATTAAACCGTTTATTATTTTACAAGTAGGTCTATTTTATATTGTATCAAATTATAATGTAGCACATAATATTATATATGTAAACAACTTTTCCTTTTTAAATTTTTCTTAGTTTATATCGCTATCAGATTTGTATATTTGGACATTTAAACAGACACATATAATGTGGAAATAAAAACTGACATTTTGAAAAAAAATATTGGTATTTTGTACCTTTTTAGTAATATTTAATTTTCAAATGTGTATAATATACATAACTGACGACATAATAAAGTTTCTTTATATCGGGGTAAGTTAGAAAAGGTAATAATTTCATGATATAATTCTATAAGCTTATTCTTTGCATACTCTCTGCTCAAAACTCAAATTATTTTCGTATATAACTTAAATTATAAAGAATAAGATCGATTATGTATCTTAAAATGAGGTGAGAGGATTACAAAAGTAAACAAATTCAGTAGAATATTTATAAATTTCATTGATCAACAACATAGTGAATTTGCTCACTTTTGTAATTTTGTAACTTATTTCAAGAATATATAATTGACTCAATTTTTAACAAGAAATCACAAATCTTATTAAATAAGAGTTGTATAATAATTTAACTAATAATTAATAGAAGGTTGAAAAAATTCAGGCACGAATTCATCTAAATCGAAAAAGGAAAAGGTCAGGAGATTAGACGCTGTAAGAGGAATACATTTCATTCGTAGATAAATAATGCATCTAAGATTTTTTTTTTAGATAATCTTAATAAATTTATTTTTAGTGCTTACAACGCGCAAATATATAACTCGATTACAATCGTATGGTGAACTCTGAACTTGGATTAGCTGTAGTCCGCTATCGTCCCCAATTCGCAGGAAAGACTCGGAAATAACGCGATCCGGTAAAAAAAAAAACCGAATCGACATAAGGTCGCTGAACTGGCAAACGTAATTCTATCTGCGCCAATATATCTACCAATATTATAAATGTAATTAAACAATGGACCTGAAGTTCCAAAGTATTTTATCGTGGAAATTGATAGCCACCGGTTGCATAACCCAGTCCAACGCCACGTTGCGTGTGCGTGGTAGCACGCGCTACTTCGTATTGTTGCTCCATATTATTGAACATTTCCTCCTGCTTTTTCAAAATGTCCGGTTTGGCTCCTACTGCCGGTGCGTTAGGTAGATCGCCCTTAATACCCATCAGTCGCTTAAACTTGGCCGTTACCTTCCCATCCTGATCGTGCGTGAAAGTCGTTCCCATCCACGTGTTAGCAGTGGAAGCCGCGGTCGACGTACTATTACCGTCATCCTGCTTCGACTGCAAAGAGATAAAGAACGCAATTGTAGAATGAGATTGAGTGTCGGATACATGTCTATTAAGGGTACTACTACAGTTGGATAATCATCACCTTGTTTGCCCAAAGCAGCTTCCTCTTTTGGATCTGCTCCGCGTACTTGCCCTGCGTCGCCGTCGCCAACGGATTGTAGTAGTTTTGTTCGCCATGGACACCACCAGGCATCATCATAGTATCGCCGCCTTCCGGCGGCTTCAACTCTATGCCTAGTTTCTCCAACTGAGCCAGTTTGTTTCGTCCCTTTTCCTCCCGATAACTCATCGTTCTAAACGGTAGCTGTGGCGCACGGTCCCTCGATCGCGATCTCGATCGCGTGCGATCCCTCTCCTTGTGGTAGCTCGAACGCTCGTCCCGATATCGATCCTTGGACCGCTCGTCCCTGGAGTGTCGTCGATCCCGTTCATTGCGGTCGCTGCGATCCCTGCGTCTATCCCTGTCGTTCCTGTCGCGATTACGATCCCTCCGATCATCCCTATAATGATGATCTTTGTCCCTATCATCACTTTTCTCGTCTTTAGATGATCCGAGGGATGACGTTTTCCGCTTGTCGTCATCCCGATTCCTACGATCTCTGCTTCGGTCCCTGTGATTATTATCACGCTGCTTTCGATCGTCATAACGGCGACCTTTGTCAGACGAATGACGACTCCGATCGCTACGGTCCCCTCGCCTATGATCATCTTTCAAACTCGTATGATTCTCATGATCGCCTCGCCTGTAAAACGATTACGTTCTGCAGGGGTATACCACACAGATGCGTATTATTATTCTGCACATGTGACAGGTGTATAATTTCGATATAGTTTTAGTGAGATATATCAAAATTACTGCTTTCTCATAACAAATTTGATATCATAAAATATCTCTAGCACCTGTACTATATATATTTAATTAACAAACCAGCCTACCTCTGGTCTGATGGAGAAGGCAAAGCCCGAGAAGATTCTGTTCTTGAGCCAAAGGTAGACTGAGCCGTTGTAGGACTGTTTGCACGTTCGCTACTAGATTCCCTTGACGAATTGTTGTTATTGCTCTCCTAGAGAAAAGAAAAGAAAATTATCAATTTTAATATGGATCTCTCTTACATATTCCACTATGTAAGAAATAGCTCTTAATTCCTACCACAAAAAACTATTTTAGAATGCGTAATTTCAATACACGCAAAGTTGAACTCTCTGACACAACCAATAATATGTATTAGAAAAACTTACACTTTAAGAGAGAAAAGACTCTTACACATAGTAAGTATATACTTTATAACACAAACTTGAAGATTTTCTCTCTATAAAAAGTGGAAATTTATTTTCTTTTTTTTTTGCATCAATACTTCTTGATTGTACTTGATACAAAAGATCAGCGACACTTTGCGTATCACTCTAAACAACAATACAATTTGTATGCGCTAATTACCGAGATAATTATCGAAGTAATAAGTAAAATGAACCAATAAAACAATCATGTCACAAAAAGGAAAGAGAGAGAGAAAGAGAGAGAGAGAGAGAGAAAGAGAAAGAGAGAGAGAGAGAGAGGAATATGAGGGCCCTTCACATCAATCTGCCTCTGCAGTTATAGTTATCACCCGAGTATATACTTGTACACGTGATTTCTTTGATGATTGATGTTTTGTTAGTGTTACCTTCTGCTAGCTTCCTCTACTCACCTCTGTCTTCGGAATAGAACTTGGGGGTAGTCTTGAAAGACCCTCACACAGCATAGACCTTGCCGAGATGCGTAGATATTGTATCATGTATTACCAACAGAGCTACGTGTTAATATTGTCTCACGAAATGGCACTATTCCCATTTACTTATCATTTAAATCATTTTAATTATGTGAATGATAGCCTGATTATCCTGCGTTCAATAAGGTTTCAAGGTCCTGTCTTACTTGTATTCATCGACTACGCGTTAAATATAGACTTGTACAATAACAGCTTTGATAACGAATACTGTAGCTTGTACCTAATCATAATCCAAACTATACCGACAATACCAAGTAAACCAAACGTAATTGCTTCCTGTCTTGCAAATTTATTTCTTATAGCATTAACCAACTGATTTGTTGACATGACCTTGCAAAATCGGATACTATCCCCTTTATATATCAGGCCTAAGACTTTTTCATGTACATACAGCACCCGTAAAGTCACTGTGGTATCTTCTTAGGCATTGTCCGAATGTTTTGTACTTAACAACTAATTAAGAATTATCGGCGTGTGGTTTTACTATACCTCACTCATATCCATTTGTACCGGATCGTAGTTGGCGTCGCTCGCCCTTCTGTTTGCCTCTTCCTGTCCCTGAGGTGGCGTCTAGAAAACAAGATTAATTATTTCCAACTAAAGTTACTTAAAGTATATACTGCTACATTCGCCGCAGTAATTGTACCTATCTCTGTGCGAGATTATGCGCGGCGATTCGTAGAGGGTTGCGAGAGAGAGAGAGAGAGAGAGAGAGAGAG